GTCTAATCTTCCCGATGCAATATTTCTTTCATCCTGTGACCTCAATTTTTTCTTTAGAGCTTTTTACAATGGATTCGTGTAGAATGTGACCTTTTCCAAATTCTCGTAATAAACGTCCTGTATTCGACATCGAAAAAGTTTAAACATGTAAAAGTGTAAGTTTTTAGAGAGTCGAGTTGGCTCTTTCCAACAAAGTTGGGATGCATCTTTGTGATGATGTGATTAGCAAAGGCAGTGATGAATTCGTCATCTTTTTTTGCAATCATTAATCTAAGAACTGGGAACTGTGTTGAGCATATACTAGTAGCTTACTAACTCAACAAATTTTATTTGCTAAGTTCCTCTATAATGCGGACTCGTTATGGTAAATTCTGAAGAATTTGCAAATGTTCACGCGAAACTCATGTTTTAGGAGAACTGGATGTCTACCCCTGTGAAGAACAAGACAGTGTACGAATGCGTGAAGGAGCATTTTTTGAAATGTAATTCTCCTGGATTTTAAAGTGCTATTCTTCCGCAACACTTCTTTTTTGCAGTAATGGCAGGTGAACCTACTGACGGCGCTGCTGCTTCGCACAGAAAGGTATAGTAGAATCATTAAATTTCATCAGTAAATAATGGAGATACGTGATATAATGGCATGACTTTCGATAGCCCTCAATAATGGCGTTAAAACTGCGCTGCAGTCCTGCCAAAACTGCAATGATCCGCTGCCTACTTATCAAACAGAATTCACGGAAATCAGCTGCTGATTGATGGTGCGAATAATAAATACTATCACGTAGAGAAAAATGACTAAAAAGATGCAAACAGATTAAAGTTATGAAGAATTGAGTTGTCTTTAAGTGCCTGCATAAAATTGACTGCATATTGAATTCATTTGGTAGGATGTATCGCTTTTAAGGTAATAAATCCACAAGATGAGGAATATATCAAGCAGGATGAGCATCAACAAGAAAACTCTGTACATAGAAGAGTGAAAAGGCAAGAACCGCCTGAAGCAGGTAAATAATAAGTAATATGCTTTTACTATGTATTCCCATTATTTTGCGCATAACACATTGTCTATTTTAGAGAGTGGAGAAGGCGAAGGATCAGGTACGTACTTCTGTTGGTTGCATGCATAAGCAAAAAATATCAATATCAAAAATACGCTGTTTGTCTTTGGCCAAATCACATACCTCTGCAAACGTGAAAAATCACTTGCACTTTGCATAAGTACTTGATTTGGTATTTTTTCCAAAACGGTTTGGGTAAAGTGAGACTAATACTTGCGGTATCTCTAGAGAT